GCCAAACAAAGTGCATTTCATTTATATAAAAAAAAAAAAGTAGTGAGGTGTGTCTATATTTTTGTACAAACATACATAAAAGGAACAGCCCTGAATATAATGTAGTCCGGTTCAACACCACCTTTAACTATAACAATAATAAACATATAATTGAATTTATACATTTATAGCAGTTTCACCAAAAATGGAAATAGTTTGAGCTTCATAAACACAGATCTTAAAGTGGAAGTGTTGCATTGAATTGCATAAAGTTGTACTTGACAAAGTGCCCTCTTTGATTGGACAGTGACAGACATTATGAATATTAACAGTTACATGTCAGACTCAAGGACACTTTGACACTGGGTTGTTCAGGGAAGAGAGAGTTGCATGCATGTGCTGGGTAGTGTCTGGTAGTACATGTTGAGGGGACATACTGTAAATCTGTTTACACCATCATATTGTGGGGACTCGATGTCCTTATGGGGACAAAAAGGAAGTCCCCAAAATGTAAACTATTATACTGTACATACATCTCATTTTTGAGCTTTAGGTCACATCTAAGATGATAATTCACCATTGTAACATTGTAGAGAAGTTAAAAAACAAGGAAAAGCATGCCATGGGCTATTTAAGGTTAGGCTGAGGTAAGTAGTGGTTGTGTTAGGTTTAGGGTAAGTCTCCAGGAAATTAATGCAAGTTACTGTAATGTCCTCTGAAGTGATAGAAAGACAATGTGTGTGTGTGTGGCAGCTCTACCATGAGTGTGAATGAGACAAATTGTGAAACATTTGCCTGTTAAGGTAGAAATGCTGTATATGTTTGTATTTGGATAAGTTACAAGTGCTTAATTTGTAAATTGAGGTCCCGGAATATCACTTGGTGATGGACCCAATGTGTCAGTGTGGGGAGGGGAGGCCCCACAATGAAAAAATACCTCAGTGACAAGTGCGTTTGCATAGTTTCCACATTAAGGAGCAGCTTAAAGGCAAAAAATTATTTGTTGTGTATGTAGTTACCAATAAATTACATAAAATTACATACACTTATTTGATAGGATTCGCTCGTCCACAGGAGGGTGAAGGAGCGGAAAAGAATGGACCCAGAGGGCTGACTTCGGTGCAAACAAATATTTACAAGTGCAGTGGACATACAATACATAAATACTGAAAGGAAAGTAAGGAACCAGGTGTCGATCAGCCTCCTAACAATACTATGTGGACTTTGGAGAAGGAGGGCCAAGCTGCGGAACAGAAAAGATAGTCACTCACTGGCTGGCTGGTGGAGATGGAACAGACTGAGGAGACAGAATAGAGGTTGGTAGTGAATGGAGGCAGTTTGTAGGACTGTGCATCGACCTGGTGGAGACTGGGAGGGCGATCAGGCGTATGATCCGGAAATGGTAATCCATGGTAGTGATGGTGAGCAGGAGAGGTGTAATTAGGAACTGGAGGAGGTGATAATCCAGAGTGCAAAAAAAAAAACTATTAGTGACAAGAGAGTAAAAACAAAAAGATCTGGACAAAGTGGTGCATGTTGTCGGCATGGAAGCAGTGATGAATTGGCAAGAGAATGATATGCGAGCTGGACTTAAGTAGAGTGAAGGGCTAAGTGAATGCAGGTGGTGTTGATTAAGGGATATGTGGCAGGTGTGCGATGTGGCATAATCAGGAATCGAAAACAAAGAGAGAGATGAGAAAGGCAGGTGCAGCCGGGCAAAGTAAAAACAAAAAGATCTGGACAAAGTGGTGCATGTTGTCGGCATGGAAGCAGTGATGAATTGGCAAGAGAATGATATGCGAGCTGGACTTAAGTAGAGTGAAGGGCTAAGTGAATGCAGGTGGTGTTGATTAAGGGATATGTGGCAGGTGTGCGATGTGGCATAATCAGGAATCGAAAACAAAGAGAGAGATGAGAAAGGCAGGTGCAGCCGGGCAAACCTGACAGTATTTGCAAGTGTGAGTTATAGATAGTTATAGGCCCCAGACTGTCAGGATTGGCAATAGGATTTCAGCCAGCATTGTTACAAACATCTGCACCCCACAGGGATGTGTAAAGTTTGCGGACAACACTGCAGTGATAGGGGGACGAAGCAGCCTACAGGAGGGAGGTGGCCGGTCTGGAGTCATGGTGCAAGGACAATAATCTCAGCCTCAACACGGACAAGACGAAGGAGATGATAGTGGACATGAGGAAGGAGAGGAGATCTCATCGGCCTTTGTTCATCCCGGGGCTCAAAGTGGAGAGGGTGAGCAGCTTCAAATACCTGGGCGTCCACATCAGTGAGGACCTCACTTGGACACTCACTGTCTGGTATGGCAGCACTACTGCTATGGACCGCAAGTGCCTGCAGAGAGTGGTAAAGACTGTAGAGAAGATCACCAGGACTCCACTGCCCTCTCTGCAGAACATTTACCACCGCAGGGTGCGTAGGAAAGCTGCCTCCATCCTCAAAGATCCCACCCACCCCCAGCACAGACTGTCCACCTCCCTACCCTCTGGTCAGAGGTTCAGAAGTGTGAAATGCAGGACCTCTAGACTGAAAAACTCTTTCTTTCCCTCTGCCATCAGACTCCTAAACAGCTGAGGAGTTTACTACCAGGAAATATATGATGTACTGTTTACATTCTCAGTTTGTGCATTGACTGTTTACTTCACATGCTGCTCCCATGCAGCATACATTCTCTTATTATATTTTTATTATATCTCTGCATTTGCTGCTTAAAGTGCCTTAGATTTAGTGTTACTTATTTATCTACTTTATATTTCATTTGTATTTTGAGGCATTCATGTGGACGGCAAAATAAGAATTTCATTGTACAGGGAAACATGTTTCCTAACTGTGCATATGATAAATAAACACTTTGATTTTGAACTTGAACTAGATGTCGAGTGCGAGTGATGTTAAATGCTTTAGTTAATCTGTTTGTGACATCATATTGGTGGCCTTATTATTCTACTACACATTAACATTATATTCAGAGTATTACAGCATCACATTCGAAGCACACTAGAGACTATATAATGCAGTAACGGTAAATAAACATGTTCTTATCTTCAGTCATTTAAAACAGCCCATAACACAGTCATGGGGAAGAGTCCTCTGTCATGTTATTCCACGTTTTTCCTCAGTCCTATGTCCATTTGTTTTGTGGCTAACATTACAGTGAATGTGCACCTGATCCAGTGTGACTTGCACGGGCTGGTTATATTGTGATGTAATTAGCCCAGCTGCCTGTTTTTATTGTATGTAATTAGTCTAATTTTAGTTTAATATGCTGCTGTAAAAGGATAGTTGTACCAAAAGTACTGGACTTCAGACTTTTTATATTCATTTTGTTTCATATGTAAATTAGGCGCCGGTCATAATTTGAGAGGTGCTGGATCCGGATATGGTTTGTTCTGGCACAAACCCCTGGAAGTTACTTTTGGTTTCCTTAGTTTGTTATGGGCTGTGTGGCATTTGTGATGTTAATGATCATGTTTTCCTTCATTAACCAGGAACTGTTTCAGGATTCTTCCAACCTCATCTTATCCTGAAATTCAGCAGGCGGTTGTTTGCACAGTTCCTTTTTCTGCACTCATTTTTGCAATTACCATTTACATTGTACTATATGTTGTTCAGATGTTTTTGAGGTATTTTTCATCTGACAGTCTACAAGATATGGTCAGCTCACAAATGACTTTCATTTATTCCTCTTTCCTTCTCTCTATCGTTACACCTTTTCCACTATCCTCCATTTGTTTGCCATCCTCCGTCACTCCATCCATCCCAGTGTGTGGTAAATTTCATCAGTGAGCTCCAGGAGCAGATGTGCAGGTTTCAGGAGGAGATCAGCACTCGCATCCAGGAGAAACGGGCCCTGGAGGAGAGGAAGGCCCAGCAGGGGGAACCCAGAGGCAGCCAGACCCAGGGTGACAGCCCTCAGATGGGGTTAGCCTGCTCAGACCTGAGCATATCTGGCTCTGACACCCGGCTTCACAATGGAGGACAGGCTGTGCACGTAGGGAGACATGATGGATGAACTAATCTTGCCCTCCTTCCCCATCATTTCTTCTCTTCTTCTCTTCTCCCCTTTTAACCACTCAACACACCACCTGGTATTTGGAACTTTCCACAGAATCAAACTAATAGCCTCTCTTGTCGAGTGTTTGCCAGTTGCCTATGTGTGCTGCAGGATGTTGGGGTCACCCGGTCCTCTGGTTCTTGCAGTTGAGAAGACTTTTGACTGGTTTTCCAAACACTTCCACATATTTGAGGAGTAAGTGAAGTTGGCTGTAGGACCCGGATGGTTGAGCTACTTGTAGCTCAACCTACTGTTTTTATTGTTTGCAGGTAGCTAAGAACACAGTAACTCATAAACATGCACTTTTTTCTTCCCATCTCCTCAAGTATTTGAAGCCTTTGGAAAAACACTTTCAGCCCTGATCTGGATTTTGTCTTTCAACTTGGGTTTTGAATCAGGCATTGTATTTGATTTGATTTGGTGTGGTTTGCTTGCATGACAGTGGTTCCTACCTCTACTAACAAAGTTTGCGTCTCTCTGTTTCCTCCTACACTGACCAGGTGGATGGGTCTTGTAATGGGTCCCCTAACAATACATAATACCGCACAAGGTGGCAGTTTGCGGCTGGCAGATAGGCAGGCAGAACGGCTTTCAATAGGTCCTCAGGTTCAGCCTTTTCCTTGTTGATAAATGCACGCTGTGGTGTCCTTTTCAGGAGGATCATGTTTCTGATATTAACCACTGAACTGTCCAGCCCCGAAGACCTCTATAACTGCACTGAACAGGGACCCGGTGTTTGAATACCCTCCCATTTAAATGTTGGCATGTGTTCAGTTCAGACAAACCCTCTGTTGGTTCATACGTTTAGGTGACATTTTGTATTTTTCAGAATTGTAAATGTTTGGAATTCCTGAATGACCATTTAGACTGCTGCATCTGACTCTGAAAAAGAGATATGAAGTACAGTATAAGCAAAGTAAAAGAAGTAAAAGATGTGTTTTGGTTTTTCAACAGGATTTGCCACAAGAGGTGAAGCAGCTGAAAAGCAAAGTGGAGGAGCTGGAAGGGGAGAAGAGCCAGTATGAGAGAAAACTAAGAGCTACCAAGGTACTTGTTAAACTAACAAGTAACACACAATCCAAACATCTGTACAATCAGCCACTCTGGACTCATTATATACAGTGTATATAGACCATGTGTTGTGTGTTTTATCTATAGCAGCTACAGATAAAGAAACAGATTTTCAGTCTGTATCACAGATTCCAGTGGTCTGGATACTGACAGTAATGATAATGTGCATTACACATAGTAACTGGAGAAGAAAACGTGAATAATCTGTTCATCTTAGTTATCGGCCAGCATATGCACCAGTACCAATATACAAGATGTTTTCAGTCTGTATGCTAAGCTAAGGTAACCCCCTCCCTCCAGGATACCTGTGGTCATTCATGTAGCAAAATAATTCTGCAAAAGATTGAGCTCAAGTTTAGAACATTAAAGGGGCAGTAGGTCATTTATGACTAACAACCTGCTTGTACTGGTAAGTCACTGACACACCAGTGTGTGTCACATTTCCACATTGGAGAGTGATATGATAATTAGAGAAATGTCTAATTATCATATCACTCTCCACTGTGATATGATAATTAGAGAAATGAGGTACTACAGTGTCTTGGTACAAATAAGATTTCACAATAATTTGTTGTGATGCTTCTCTTGTTGCATTTATTGATTTAGCCTCTTAAACTTCTGAATTTCTTTTTAAAAATGTTATGGTTAAAAACATTTTTCATATATGGACTTGTAGAACAGTCACTTTTTTAATAAACCATTTCATGGAAGCTTCATGATGATTACACTGAATTATATATTTAAAATCAAAGGCACTGTGTTTTACAACTGGAATAACATATGCAGCATTTTCTACCTCCTGCCCACTAGTATTCTTGTTTTGTTTTGTATACAAATTTTCCCAAAATTCAGCCTGACATATTTTATATTTTTGGAAACTGTGAAGTCTCTGCTAAGAATGGACCAGCAGGGTTTAAGAGGCTACTTCACACTAATAAAAGAGCATTTTTCATCCTAACACATTGTTTGTTACTGGCTAATTCAGGGAGCTGCTTTCTCTATGCTCACACTACTTCCTTCCTCCTCTCTTCCTCTCACTCCATCACTGTCTGTATCCCCTCTTCTTCTCCATTAACCCCTCTCCACGGCTTGCTCTCTTCACTTTTTTCTGCTGTTCTTTTCTTTCCCCACATCTCTACATTGCCCCCGTTATTACCCTCTTCCTCTCTCTAGCTTTCTATCTCTTACTCTCTCCATGTTTGTTACCAGTCGCTCATGACCCGGCTGTCCAGCCTCAAGCTGACTGTCGAGCACACACAGCTGGAGAAGCAGCGTTGGGAGGAGCGCTGGCGCAGCGCACAGGTGCCTCCTCTTCTTCCTCCTCCTCCTTTGCCTCTGGTTCCACTGCTTGTTCCCTTCTTCTGATTAATACTAATACTCTGAACTCTGTCTGTCCCTTTTTCTGCCTCTTGCCCAATAGTATTCTTGTTTTGCACCTACGTTTTTCTCCTCCCTCCTCTTTTCCCTAATTTCTGTCTTTTGCTCTTGCAGAGGATTAGAAGGAGGAAGAAGAAAGTTCTTCCTCCTTCTAATCCTCCTTGCTTTGCTTTTTGTTGGCCTTGTGATGGTTGAACTGTCATTACAAATCAGAAAAAGACAAAATTAATAAAACTTCCTGATTCCGCTTAGGTGTGTGTGTGTTCATGTGTCAGTTTGCAGAAGCAGAAGAAAGTCAGAGAAAGCCTTCCTGCTGCTGACTGTCTCTCTCTCAGTTTTTTTATTGGAGTCTGTATGAAAATGTAAATTCATATGACTGTGATGTGTATACATTAGTTGTGTGTGTTTGTGTAGTTATGCTGAGTTTATGTTCACTGTTTATTAAGGATATAACCCAGATACAGTGACCATAGTCCCCACTTCAAGTTGCTTTAAAAATTCTCATTTTGACAATAATAACTGGCAGTGAGTTATAGCTTTAACAGGCTTTGTAGCATTAGTGGGCGGCACAGCGGTGTGGTGGTTAGTGCTGTCACCTCACAGCAAGAAGGTTTCAGGTTTGAGCCCCAGCCAACTCAGTGCGTGGTTGTTTGTCTACTTGTCAGCCCTGTGATAGACTGGCGACCTGTCCAGGGTGGACCCTGTCTCTCTCCCAGTGTCAGCTGGGATTGGCTTCAGCCTCTCTGTGACACTATTCAGGAATAAGCGGTATAGAAACAAGCTCAATAATAGCGCCAACACAAATTTGCTGTTGTATTAACCAAAGCATGCAGTAAATTCATACAGATGAACTTACAAATTAGCATTTTTTTTTCAGGTTCCATGTCTGAGATACAAGCACAAACAAGTTCAATTTGATTACATGCATTTATTACAAACACTATGGTGACAAATACTAAACACTGCAATTAAACAAACAAAGACAAAAGTTAAAGGGAAATAAAAATACAAGGCTGTGGTGAGTGAATAAATGAGTTCCTACAAATCTAAGAAAGATGTTACTTTGAGGAGCAGTGAGTCAAATCAATGGCACGGCAGCTTCTTTGTGAATTAAACTGAACTAGGAACATTGCTGCTGCTCTGTCTGCACTGTTCAGGCACCTCCTAATATAGATAGACAGCTAGAGCTGGATACAGTCCCCTGCCAAGCCCAGAATTCATTCTTTAATTCATTACTCACATGGGCTTCAGTGAGAGTAATGATTTACCATCTCAGACACTGGTGCAAGTGTAACCAAGCCCTGAGCTGTAAGTCACGTGTCATGTCCATCCTGTGAGAGTAATCAGCATTCCATTAATGGATGAGAGACGCCTTCACTTTCTGCACACTTTACTTTCATTTTAAAAGGATAAAACACTCAGTTACCAACAATGACACAGTGAAAACATGTTTAAAACAATTTTTGAAAACAGATTAAAAATCAAAAATTAAAATCTCACATTTACAAAGTTTTTTTGACCCTTCCCTGGGGTAAAGTTTTAAATGTTTGTATCATTCCAATACCTCATGAAGATACTGTATAGGGGAAAGGATTCCAACAGGTACAACTAAATGTTGGAGGCAGATATCTGGTAATGGTAGATTTGACCTCATTTGCCCCACATGTGGTTATAGCTACAGTATCTACTCTGTCTTCCTCCACAGGCAGAAATCTCAGAGCTGTATGGGCTCCTGGCCACCAAAGACGCTGAGATCGAATACCTGCAGAACCAGCTGCAGGCCAAAGGCAGCACAGTCAGCGACCGCGCAGAGAGAGGTACACACAGCTGACGGTCTGTCCAATCATGTCAGACGCACATTTGTCAGTGAGGATATCTTTCAACTCAAGTCTGATTACTGTAATATCTAATCATGTCCCTCTCTCCTTTGCTGTGAACCTGATTTGTTCTTGACTCTCTGCTGCCCTCTGCTGTAGAGGAGGTGTATATCAAGCAGCTGATTAACAAATGTAAGGCACGGTGTGCTCTTTGAATGGCTCTGATTTGCAACCAAACTCATCTGACTGTACGACCACTTGACATCTTGAGTTTTGTATTTTTGTCATGAAGTGTTATTTACTCTAGCATTGCTGTGGTTTTGGCTCAAATCTCTGTAAATCTGAGATTTAAACACGAGTTCCCACTTTCGCTAACAGTGGACACCCGATTGACTGTGAGGTGTCCCGTGGCAGAGTGTCTGATTTCAGATTAGACCACAGCCGAGCTTCAGTTTGTGTAAATATTCAGTTATAGTAAATATACCAACCACAGTGCAGTCAAATTCTCCATCCTTTCAAATGTCCTGGCTAGCATGCCTCTTTGGGCAGTGCAGCATGGGGTGCACAATGCATGGTATCCATGGTTATCCTGCTTATACCATGGGCACAAGGCCATACCAGGAAGGCGTTCACAAAGCTGTTCTAGGTTGTTTTTTGTTTTTAACTGTTGTTCCTCTCATTGTCAAAAAACGAGCATGTCTTCGCTCCCTCTGTCGCATACAGATATCATTGCTATCCAGCTCTGTTCCTTCTCCACGTCTCTTTATTTTCTGTTCAGTACTGGTCACATTTCTTTTCACCTTTCCCCTGCAGGTGTCCCTCAGACACACAAGCTGTCAAGTTTACTCCAAAGGCCCTCTCTTGCTTCTTGCTTTTGTTAGTTAATTTGGATGTCCAGATTGACATAGAAAACAACAACTTGTGCAACTAAAATTTCTTTTCTCTCTTCCTTGGTTGCACAAATCATAACAAACATCAAGCAAACACCTGCATCATTGGTGTCCTGTCATCCAAACCTCCTCCTCAATCAGAATCAAGAAGTCTCAATGGCCATGTTATGAGCGTGTATATCAGTTCCACACAACATGTCAAATTCAGCTCTATTGGACTGCCTGGCCTCCACTGCAACAGCAAGATCATGTAAACAGCTACTCCAGAAATGTAGTAACATTTTTAAGGCTGGCTTTGTGTTACTCCAGGCCAAAGCTGAGATGATGGTGATGTCATCAGGGCTGACAAAGATCTTGACAAGGATCCTCCAATGCCACAGAAAATGTGACTTTAACTAATACTAGGATTCTTAGGTGTAAAATTGTTTCTGTGTTTGAAACAATGTGGAATTACATTCGCTGTGAGTTTGGTTGTGCATGAGTTTGTGTGTTTATACTGTATATTGTTGCCAAGTTTCAGTAAGACCCATCTCTCTTAGAATGAAATTTCAGGAATTCAGAAGAAAACTCTTCGGCTGGTATTATTAGCACCATCATTATAAAACATTGTAGTGTTTGTCCCAGGTGATAGTGTATTGACAGTTGTGGTGTTGCTATGTATTTGTTTTGCTTGTTTATTCATATTAGCATGGCTTTCATGTCCATTGCCAACATCACAGTAGTCACCTATCAGATTTCTTAAATTAACTATACATCAGATTAGTGTGACTCCAAAATTCTATTTTAATTGTTTTTCTTTGCTAGACCAGGAATACCGGAGGCTGAAGGTGGGGATGGAGTCTCTGTTAACTTCAAATGATGAAAAGGTAAATGAAACCTGTTTTGCCACTACTGGTATAATTCACAATGTAGTAGATGCCGGGTTCAACAGCTGTTTTGACAGAATTAAAGGTTCCAGTCTCTACTTGATTTTTATATGACCAAATATTTGTCTTGCTGATGAACAGGATCGTCGTATAAAGGAGTTGACCATTCTGCTTGGCCAATACAGAAAGATGGGGGAGGTCCAGGCACTCACACAGGGTATGATTGTGGTCTTTTTTGTACCTGAAACATGAGTTTTAGGTTAACTATAACATAGGAAACAGTGGAGAAGGTAACTTATGTATTGCAATAGTATTGTGCTGTGTATTTTGTTTTTACCAAACAGGAAGCAGTGAAGAGGAACTAAGTAGCAGTTTAAAACTCAGAGCTGTCACACACAAAGCACACTCTGATATCCTCAGGTCAGAGGTAAGATTACAGATTACTTCCTTTTTTACAGCCTCTAACAGTCTAAGCACTTCTGCGCTGTAATCAAACCACTTGATCATACACAGTGGCTTTAGACAGTAGTCAGACCTCTTCGTGTTTAGGCACACTTTGTATTCTAGACTTAATTTTAAATGGATAAATCTACATTCTCCATTCAATCTACTTTCAGTAACCGATTATGATAAAGTGAAAACATGTTTTTAGAATATAAACACTGATGTTTTGCCTGAAGCAAACAAACAAACAAAAAACAAAAAACTGGAAAAGCAAAACTGTGTTGTCTTTGCACAGATGTCATCAAGAGGATCTTCTCCACTTATGTTATCTTCATCCCCTTACCAGAGAGAATTGGAGTCCAGGTATAAGCACACACATACACATGCACAGGCACAGATATATCTCACAACATATTATCACTCTCACTCTGTGTTACGGTATTTATTGTAGTATTCAGAATTCTATGAACACATCGCTGGTGTCCACTGGAGATGCAAGCGTCTTTAACGGATCATGGTGAGTTTTATGTTTGTCCAACAATGAAATGTTGCTTTCGCTGAACTCTGGGGTGTAGGCAGACGTTACTCAGAACTATACGTAGGAGCCAGACAATGCAGAGCTTTGAAAACAAATATTAAAATCTTGAAAATTATCCTGAAATGGACAGGAAGCCAATGTAGAGACGCCAGAACAGGTTAATATGATCACACTTCCTAGTATTAGTCAATAGGCATACAGCTGCATTCTGAACCGGCAAGACAGGGATGCTTGAGAGATCCCAAAATACAGTGTGTTGCAATAATCTAACCTCGAGCTAATGAGGCCATGAATAGCCTTTTCAAAGTCCTGAAATTTTGTAATATTGGATAACAGTCTCATCTGAAAGAAGTTTGCTTTAACAACCAAGTTGATCTGTATATCCATCTTGAGGGCCAAGTCAAAATCCACCCCAAGGTTTAGCTGCGGTTTTAAAAAAAGGAGTCAGCTGACTGGATCACAATTTGACCATCCACTGGGGCTTCCAACTGACACACGTTCATTTTATTCTCACTGATATGTTATATATTTCAGTGATAATCAAGTTTTAATGTCATGCAAGAAATCAAACAGGGCCGTTAATAAAAAAAAAAAAAAATCCCAGTAACTGGCAAATATATTTGAATATCGGCGGCACAACAGTGAAACGCTAGCCCATATTTCTTAAATTTGACCCTAGCAGAAGTAAATACAATGAAAATAAAACCTGGCTAAGAATATAACCTTTGGGAACCCTACAAGTAAAATGTTAGTGCTAAGTCAGATAGGAATATATGATGGCACATCTTTCCATTTTTTTCTAACTCTGAAGCCATTTTTCTCCAGGCATCAGCACAGGTTGCTGTCCAGCAGCCTTGAAGAGCTGCAGAGTGGATCCTTACAACAGGTTTGTTAATGCATTTTCATTTGTTGCTATCTGCCACTTATTGCTATCATAACACTATAATGCAATGGTATATAATCCAGTGATCTTCTCCAACGTGTTACATGTGCTTCTGCTTTTTGAATACCTGATTAAAAACCACACTAACTGTTCTAACTAACGTTGTTGTTCTTTTAATCTGTCATCTGATTGCTAACCTGCTAACTCTCAGTTTGTGTGGGTGTGTGCTTGTGTGTTCTTTTCTCTCTTCTGTGTCTGTGTTGGCTATAGGCTACAGAGATCCAGCCAGTTGAAACCGACGTAGGGGCAGAGGTATCGATTTGCAGCATGACTTCACGCAACCTAACCTACACCTAACATGCTTGCTTCATGAACACACGTGCTGCACTTTCATACATTGCCATTAATCGATTTCACTTCTGTAAATTCAAAATAGCCTATTTTTAATAGATCTTATTAAGAACATTTTCTAAAGGACTCACTAAGGTGAGGACCATGGGCCAGAGTCAGGGGGGAGGTCAGGGGTGGCATCGGTCACTCCCAGAATCTGATTGGCTACCCCTACCAGAGCTAAAATGTAGTCCTTGTCAGTATTAATAAAAAAAGGAAAAACAACAACAAATTGTTGCCTTAAATACAACTAACATTGGTGCTTTATAATTCATATTGGCCAAACTAGTAACATTTTTATATCATGCATGCAGCATGATGTTTACATTCATTTCTCCTACTGTGTTGCTGTGGAGTACTCGGCATGATTCACCTCAGCTGGGTGAAATACTGTGCAGCAGCGATGTCCCTGGCCAGGAGTACATACGGAGCATACCCAAAGTTAGCTACAGAAAGCACCATGGGTGTCTCTTACACAAAATAAACTATTTGGTTGTTAATAATGTATGGTTGTTTATTTATTTTAAATGTGCCACCCCTCTCTGAGTTTGTGTCCTAGCCTGGCTACCCCTTCCAAAACTTTCTAGATCTGCACCTGGCAAGTACACATGCACTCAAGGGTCACATGTGCATGATATGCAAGGATGCATTTTGGTCCACCAGCCTGCTTATGAGCTTCAAGCTAAATATTTCTGAAATTAAGTAACAGAAAAAAAAGTGATATTGTGTAGGTTGGAAATGTAGTGTTTATGATAAAGTGTGTATATAGTCTTTTTCTTTTCATGTAAAAACTGAGATTAACTAGGTAACACTAAATATGTATCATGTACCTTGTATTGTGTAGCACAGAACATGATATAATTCTCCAGGTTGCCTCTGACCTTTTGTTCTCAGCATGAAAAGCAAGGTTTCTAGCTGAGTTTTCCTTTTCACCTGAGCAGAAATGCCTTCTGTGTGACCACAGTCTTATACTGCATATTCATATTTCATACACATTCTTGTGTTCTACATGCAGACAAACACATAATCATACTGTGGTCATACACACACACAAACACACATAAAGGGCCAAGACCGACCTGAAGTGGATGTCAGTAGTGTTCAACATCAGGGCTGCCTCCCAGCTGTTTCTTTGTGCTGGCCTTTCTCCTGTTAGTCCTTCAGAGCTTGCGGAGACTTTGGTGCCTGGTCAAATACTGGCATTGTCAGACATTCACCCTCCAAATGAACACTGTCATCCAACACAGCAAAGGAGCAAATCATATGTAACCTTACTGTTATTTTATGAAAGACATTGATTTGAGACCGATTAGTAGTCTGAATACAGATGGAAAGGAAATGTAATGTTCAGTACTTTAATATACTGTACATACAGTGCATAGCTAAAATTATGGTTTTTATTGTATTTGAGCTTTGGGTTCTTATAGAGTGTCAGAAGAAGCATTCAAGGCTGGAATTAGTGAATTTTCAGTACTTAGCTGTAGGCTTCTGATACCACTTAAAGGATTTAATACATGAATGTAGTTCATTTGAAACTTGGTGCTGGACTGGCCAAAAAATTACTTACTGGTACTGTTTTTATTTATTTATTGTGTTGTTGTTCTGCAGAATCCTCCCATGGAGCTGAACAAGTACCAGACCCTGCCAGGTAAGCTGAGTAAAAAGAGAGAGCTGAGGGCTGAGCTGAATGGTGACAGAGAGAGAGACAGAGAATATTCGTCTCCTGTCCAGCTGTGTCTGGTCCACAGCCACAACCAGGACTGCAATCTGAGTGAGTTTCTACATCACTTATCATCACTTTAATATTATAAAGTATGGTAACTTTTCTCTGCAGTCACTCTGTAGATGTAAAGTTCATATTTTTTTCATTTTTATTCAAAACTGTTTGAAGGTACTGCCTCTGTTAACCTCAAATAAAACCCAAAAGATCTGCATGACTCCCATTTTGTGAAATATATTTCTTCACATTCTAGCTGAGAACATTGATACCACGCTCATGTCTGTACAGTACATATATGCAAAGCAGTTGGCTTATCTTAGCATAAAGCCTGGAAACAAGGGAAATCATCTCTCAAAGGTAAGAGCCAGGCGCGCCTTTGGAAGCTCACTAATCATTACAATATACCTTTTAAGTATAAAAATAAGTTTCTAGACTTGTTGTTGCCGTGGTACAAACTACGGGGGAGTGAGGGGGAGCTCCCCTTACTAAGACGAGTTCCCCTGAAAACATTCTGGGCAATCTCAGTCTAAAATATTGACAATATATTATTTAGTGATATATTTCTGTTATATTATATTTATAATCATGGATCATGCGTACAATTTGGCTTTTATTGATGTATGATTCATGCATAAGGGTGATTCGTCACTAATTCATATTAATAAAGATACAGGGATGTACAGTATGTAGTTCTCGCCATAACCACTGAAGCACTACTGCACTGTAAACTTCACTTTAACACAAAGATCACCTAAACAATATCATGTCTGTTGCCTTAAAACAAAACAGGAGAAGAACAAACATTCTCACACAGTCTGCCAGTGAATCGACATTTTTTATTTAGGCTACAGATCATGCACTATGTCAAAAAGAAAACAAGGCAGCTTGAGTTTTGCTTCAAGTATCACAGTCAGTTCACTCTTTGAGGCACCCGCAAGACAGGAAATAAAAGAAGTAATTAATTTATGAACCATAACACTCAGGAATACAAAGGTGTACATTTTAACACAGGAGGGTGCAGAGAGTAAAATGGTCTTTCTGTCTCTCCCCTCACCACTCTCCATTCCTCCATGGTTTTGAAATACGCACACTGCCAGTTACTTTACATCTGTTTTTCTATTATTTAAGAAGAGTGATCTGCCCCAAAGCCCTGTTATAGTTCGCACACTGGTCATTGCAGGACACCAGAAGTCACTCTAATCAGCTACGGAATAGCAGGCTAGCTGTTTCCAGCCTTTATGCTATGATAAGCTAATGAGCTGCAGGTTGTAGTTTTGTATTTGCTGTATAGACAGGGTGGTACTGATTGTCTTATCTATCTTTACAGAAGAAAGAGAATAAGTGTAACTCTTCCTTTAAATGGGAAACTGGTTTAGTCATTTGGATGAATAAATCCTATAATGAAGAAAAACTGACTGAGATTTAGTCAACTAACTCTGCTCCAACTACTTCCTTCTCTGTGCACTCTCCTTTTCTCCTCTTCCTGTCTGCTGCGCTGTCGGATTGCTCATGTCTCTGTTTGTGTTCTGGCTGCAGTTCGCTGCAGGAGTGCCAGTGCTCCGGCTTTAGGTACTGTATGCTCGCACAAAAATTCAAATGTCAGCACTGGAAATGCACTCCCAGGAGGCTTGATTCGATAGGCTAATGTTTTTGTTCTGACTGTGAAATCATACAAACAAACCTTTTCTGACAAACAAAATTCACATCAGTTATCTCCTGAACAAACCAATCAGAGGTGGGCAGAGTCTGGGTGAGAAACTATTTTCACTGAGGATCAAGCAGCTCTAAAGCCAGGATTTTTAGGACTCCCTCATGACTCAGAGAGCTGCCAGAGCTAATGCCCGGCTCTCTTGCATCAGCATTTATCGAGACATATATATGTATATACACACACACAAAGTTAAAAGGCATATAGGCACACAGCTTCACATGTAACCATCAACACAGCGCCAGAGCTTAAAGCAGGAGGGTAATCAGGGGGCTGTGAGAGGGCAAGGAATGTAAGCTTAAGGTTGTGTGCAGCTCAACTAGCTTAGATGTCACAAAGTAAAGTGATAGTGTGACAGTGGCATCTCTCTGCTGAACAGCCTCGATGACTTCTTTGGCCGCTTTGAAACACAGAACAACATACCAGCACAGAAGACCAGCCCTTCCCCGGTTGAGCAGGCTGTGTGTCTGTCTGCAGCCAGCGTGAAGAAGACCCTCTCCAGGATTAACCCATGCAAGGCAGCTGGACCGGATAACATACCTGGTCATGTTTTAAAGGACTGTGCCGAGGAGCTCAAGGATGTCCTCATGGACATCTTTAACATCTCTCTGAGCCAAAGCAGTTGTTCCCACATGTTTCAAGGCAGCCACAATAATTCCAATTCCAAAGAAGCCCCACCCAACAAGTTACAATAACTATCGGCCTGTAGCACTGACTTCAATTATTATGAAGTGCTTTGAGCAGCTGGTCATGCAGAACGTCAGGGCCATCCTTTCCCCCTCACAACCCATTTCAGTTTGCATACAGGTCAAACAGGTCCACAGAGGAGGCCATTACTGCTGTTCTCCATCTAGTCCTCACCCACCTAGATTCAAAGAACTCTTACATGCGAATGCTGTTCCTAGACTTCAGTTCAGCATTCAACACAATAATTCCCCAGCAGCTTACACAATAACTTGGACACCTGAGACTCAAAACCTCTCTCTACAACTGGCTGGTGCACCTTTCCGCAGGGCGGGCCAATAAAAATGTGCAGGTTGGCAGCAACATCTCCAAGACCATCATGCTGAGCACAGGGGCTCCGCAGGGGTGTGTGCTCAGCCCATTGCTCTTCACAGTGCTGACCCATGACTGTGTGCCAACCTACAGCAAGTTTACGGTTGACACTCCTGTAGTTGGGCTCATTACCAACAATGATGAGGCCAACTACAGGAGTGAGGTGTGCCAACTGGTCCAGTGGTGTAAGGACAACAACCTCTCCCTCAATGTGGGGAAGACTAAAGAGATCATTGTGGACTTCAGGAGAAAACCTCTAAAGCATCCACCACTGACTATCGAC